GTAGTAAAAGTAAAATGTTTTGATTTGGAAGTGGAATAAAAGTCCATTGTCTTTTGAATATAGATGGAATGAAGACAAGTCTTCTGAGGCCTAAAACAGAATAATCAGAAGAACATTATATCAATAATGAGAGAATGAAATGAGCTGACAAATGATAGTAGTTTAAGCATAAAATTATGATATTGAAAAAAAATTAAGACTTTGAAAGGAAGTGAAGAAATGGTTTCATAATAAGCAGACAAAATCGTTCACTTAGGAGCATGAATTTGGTGAGATTTGTACCAAACTCATAGACGTGAAATGTCACCCTACAGTTAGTCTATCTTCAGAGGAAGAGTGGGGAACGTGTGGGTTTTGTGAGTTGTGGACAACCTCAGAGAAAATAATCCCAAGTGGTTAAGGCCCAGCATTCTGAGACAGATAGCACTGGATGGTCTCCTGCATAGCTCCAAGAAATGTCTGCTTCCTACCCAGAGCAGCGTTGTACTTGGGAAACAGTGTCTTTGTGGTCCAAAAAACTTACATAACGCATTAACGTTTTGGGAGAGCAATATCTAGGAAAAGTAGAGAAGTTATATCACTTCTGTATTTGGCATTGGTACAATCGCTTTTCCATTGCTGAGCTCTTTTTTTTTGGTGTCCATAAGCCTGTTGATAAAATGGTAAGGGATTGATCAAAGGACTGGATGCTTTGCCTTGCGGTGAGACATTCTGGAATCTTGCTCTGTTTATCTTACCCATGAGAAGGCTAAGACTTGACCTGATCAGAGTGTCTGCATTGGGGAAAAAAACATTGAAAAACTGTTAACAATCTGGCAGGCGAAGATATAAAAAGGTCCAGTGGTTGCTATTTGAAGTTGAAAATTCCACTGCAGATTTTGAACAGTGAGAATGATTAGCCCCCATGATATCTTAACAAAGGTTGTGGTGGTTTCCTTACCGCTGACAGTTTAAAAATCAAGATTGAATGGTTTCTTAAATGATATGTTTCAGTAAAGCACAAGTTCTGTGGCTTTTTTGTACAGGGCATTGGGCTAATTGTTCATAAAAATCCCCTTTGACCTTGAATCTCTTAATTCTCTTAAAGACAATGGCTAGTGTCAAGCTAGTCACTTTTTTCTTTTTTTTTTTTTTCTTTTTTTTTGTTATCGAAATTTTCTATCCAAAACTTACTTTTGCTTTTACACAGCTCTGGTGAAAAATAGGTATTTTTCTTGGCCAGCTTCTGTTCATAGCCCGTCAGATTGTTTTTAACTTTAGTGACCTTGCAGTCGTACAGTGTTAGTGCATTAGTATACTATGTGACATTGGTGTATCTGTAAGGCTCTATTCTTTATTCTGTTCTTTGGTACCCTGAAGACATATGCCAAGCATGAGCGTATTTTAGTTGGCTTTGTTGAGATATGTATGGGATATCTTTATAGCATTAATTGAATTCAGGATTAAGAAATCTACTCTTTCTGCAATAAGTGCAGTTCATAGTAGTCTTTTAGTTGCTTCCCTCCTCCGAGTCCCATCTGCACACCTCATGTT